TTGGTGGAAGTCCAAGTTTCAGCAGGTCATGGCTAGCCTCTGATAAAGCGAGGAGTTACATACTTCTGGTTAGAGTTTCCCGGTCACCTTTAAGAACAGATCTTTCCTTAAGTACATGGAGCTTCCCAAGTCCTTGCCACTCCCTCTATCACCCTTCCAAAAAGCACCCTGATCACTGGTTATAGACAAAGAATATGAATGCCTCTTTTTTTCAATATCTTCCACTTATCCATTAGCAACTCTACACATGAAAGTAATTATAAATGCATATCAAGGTGGCATTACATGGCATCACATTTATACTGACCCTTGCCGGACACCTTAGACTTATGTTGGAGATGCCCACATGTTACGGGCACTACAAGTCATATATGGTGGTCATGCGTTGTTCTCCAAACCTATTGGGAAAAAATAACGAAAATGATAAACCTTATCACGAGGCTCAACATACCTAACACTCTGAAAACTGTACTGTTTCTTTTGTATCCTGTCCTTCTAACTAAGACATTTGTTATACTCCTCAACCATCTGCTGATTGCAGCAAACCTTTTAATACCCGTGTACTGGAAAAATGTTGCAGCTCCAATAGTGAAGGATTGGATACAAAAAGTAGAATTTAGCAGGCTTATGAAAGAAATAAAATATTCCTTATCAAACTGTTACAATCAATACGTACAGATCTGGTTTCTACAACAACAATCTGGTTAACACCTTAAGGACTGGACTGTTTTTGCGATGTTGTACATTTGCGACCAGGCATATTTTTACACTTTTGTGGTGTTTGTGTTTGGCTGTAATTTTCCGCTTTCTCATTTACTGTTCCCATACAAATTATATATTGTTTTTTTCAGGACAAAAGGGGCTTTCTTTACATACCATTATTTAGATAATCTCATGTATTTTAATTTAAAAAAAATAAAAAAGTCTGATGAAAAATTGAAAAAAATACATGTTTTTTGACGTTTACTTGAAAAATCTTTTACTCATCTACAAAAGCGAATGAAAAAAAATGCTAAATAGATTCAAAATTTTGTCCTGAGTTTAAAAATACCTAGTGTTTACGTGCTTTTTTGCTTTTTTTTGCATGTTATAGGGCTATAGGTACAAGTAGAATATTGCGGTTTCAAAACATACATTTTTAAAATTTATCAATAGTGACATTGTAACACTATTATCTGTCATAAATCTCTGAATAACACCCCACATGTACATATTTTTTTTAAAGTAGACAACCCAGGGTATTCAATATGGGGTATGTCCAGTCTTTTTTAGTAGCCACTTAGTCGAAAACACTGGCCAAAGTAAGCATTCATATTTGTTTGTGTGTGAAAAAAGTAAAAAAACTAAATTGAACGCTAATTTTGGCCAGTGTTTGTGACCAAGTGGTTACTAAAAAAGACTGGACATACCCCATTTGCAATACCTTGGGTTGTCTTCTTTTGCAAATGATATGCCATCATGGGGGTAATTCTCATTCCTGGGCTACCATACGCTCTCAAAGGCAACGTAACCAACCTGGCCATTTTCAATGTAAAAATATTTGACCCATATATTTGACCTTGTAACTTTCAAAAATGCTATAAAACCTGTACATGGGGGGTACTGTTTTACTCGGGAGACATCGCTGAACGCAAATATTAGTGTTTAAAAACTGGAAAACGTATCACAACAATTATATCATCAGTAAAAGTGCTGTTTGTGTGTGAAAAATGCAAAAAAAGTAACTTTCACTGACAATATCATCGCTGTGATATGTTTTACTGTTTTGAATCACTAATATTTATGTTCAGCGAAGTCTCCCGAGTAAAACAGTACCCCCCATGTACAGGTTTTAGGGTGTCGTAGAACGTTACAGGGTAAAATACAGTGCTAGCAAATTAAATTCTCTGGAATTTCGGCCTGGGTTGGCAGGCAGGTCCCTCAAATTGCAATCAATAAAATTACTGAATTATGTAAAAATATTACATAAATACACACGTAGAATTTAAATATATATGCATATTTATATATTTGAAGTCTACGTGTATATTTATATAATTATTTATGTAATTTTGTATATGGACATATGTATATTTCTTATTATTTTTATTTATTTTTATATACATAGATATATATACAAATTCATTCTAAGTGTATTTTGATATAAATATATATATATTTTAATTTTAAAATACAGTTAGAATAAAATTTCATATAGCTATATAATTTTTGTAAAATTTTTTATTATTATTTAAAATTTTTGTATTTAATTTAAATTACTTATTATTTATATTTTATAATATATATACAATATATATAGTTATTATATATATTATATATATACGTGTGTAATTTAATTATAAGTGTATTTTTATATTAATATAAGTACATATTAATATAAAAATACACTTAGTATGACATTATATATATATATATATATGATATATAGACATATATTATATAGATATAATATATGTCTATATATCATATATACACATATATAAGTATTTGTTTTTATTAACACTAACTTTATTTATTTATTTTTACTGATTTTACACTAGCAGGGAGACTGCCTGTCAGCACAGACAGTCCCCCTGCAGGCAGACACATGGACACCTATTGTGACCATGTGATCGCTGTGTTAAGCGATCACATGGCCACAGGGGTCCTAATTCAGTGTGGGGAGACTGTCTGGGCTGCAGGCAGTCTCCCCACAACCGGAGCAACACTGATCGCCCCCGGGGGAATGACGGCGATCAGGTAAGTAGCCTAGACCGTTAGGACGGTTCAGGACCGTCATCGGTCGGCAAGCCAAAAATGCAGATGACGGTCCTGAACCGTCCTGGGTCGGGAAGGGATTAAATAAAGGTTATCCACTAATAGTCCCATCATTTTTCCTCCCTTCTCCCTCTCATCCTCCTTACTTCTGCTGGCACTGTGACTAGTCACAATAACGAAGTCAGGACGGGTATCTCACACTCTATGCTCCACATGGATCTCACTATAACCCCCTGTGACAGATCCCTCTGTCTTGGAACTGTGCCTATAACCCGCTGGCTTCGTCTGGTTTTCGGTTAATTGCCTGTCCGTACCCCTCATTCGTTTATTTCCTAAACTCACGAACAAACCGCCGAATGGCAGGCCACCCAGCCTGGAAGTGTGCTGCTGGTTAAGCCTCATTAGAACATTGTGGTTAACCGCAGACACCTCCTAATTATCAAAGGTATTATCAAAGGTGTTCGTATGCCGACCATGAGGTGGCAGCCATCTTGGATGCATGAATAATTAGCGGTGTTCGGCGATGGTTTCCTGGAACTTAAACCGACAGTATTTCTCCCGAACACCGCTGAAACCGCCAACCTCCCTTCTCTGCCTTCCAGCATACGAACGTCAGTCCGTTCGGTACTTTTCTGCACGAAATGACTTACCCCAGATAGCCATCCCATGGAGCCCATTCGTATACCGAAAGACAATGTGAAATACTTTGGCTCCATGACGATTGAACTGTGTGTATAGGATCTGAGCGCCATTCGGTAATAATGTGCGCTCAGATCTAAACTATCTGGGGATACGTTAAATGTGGTTATTCTATTCATGTAATTTGGAGTTATTGATTTTTATGTATTTTTATCATTATGTACAAAATGGAGTTTGGCCTCTATTGAGGAGGAGGGTTGTTCTCCGCTAAAGGGGAGTGTTTATGCTTGTGCCACTGTGATTGGCTACTATATCCATATTGTCACAGTATCCATCTGGTCCCCTAGGGGAGTGTCCACCAGGTGGGAGACCTGCATAAATACTGGGCAGTTAGCCCTCAATAAATCAGATCTCTGCTTAACCCTCAATAGCTTGGTCTCATACTTGGGGGTATTGGATTCGTATGGTTTACTCGTTCGGCTGTTTGATATGTGAAGGATTTCGTATGGTTCCTGTTCGGCTGATTGGAGTTTTCGTTAGCTGTCTTTCCATTCGGAAGGTGAACATCTTCAGCGGTATTAACCCCTTTTATACCTGGGTGTACCGTAACACCCCCAAATGACAACAAAAGCTTTATTCTGATTAGTTCTCATGATGAAACCTCTCGCAGCTACATACACACAATCGGATGACATAACCCCACGAGCAGCAGACAATAACACTTTATGTTATACACCATCTCCAAAACATTCTAGTTACATCTATAGAAGAAAGGGATCAGCGCTCTCTATCTATACAAAATACAACAGGAACAATAATAAATAAGTAAAAAGTGGCAGCACACCTAAAAAGTAGGGCTCCCTCACAGGCCTTACAACAGAAATGGTACAGAAAAAATAAAGGAAGGCAGCGCCACTATAAACCACATAAATTAAAAGAGCACAGAATAGGCAGACTAGAATGCAATATATATGATAGATAATAAGCAAATAGAAGTCCAGAATAAATAGTCTGACTGGTAGATGAATCAAACAATGAGGTATATCTTTGTAGAGGTGAATACAGTCTTTTGTAGTGGGGGATTCTTCAGAGTGGTGTAGATGCGTCTTTGGACATCATATGAAATGAGAAAATAACAACTGATGGTATAGTATGTCACGAAAGGGGTAGAAGCAATAAAAGAGTATATGGTCCTACTCACGTTTTCAAGAGCTATGGACTTAGCTCTAGTGTTGATAACGTACAGTGGTATAATCCCCATTTATGGGATACGTGAGGTCTTAGTATTCTTTCTTGATTAGGGAACCATATGTGGAAATAAAAGCGGGAACAACAATGGTGCTCAAAGTATAAAATGCCAGAGGTGAGAAGATAAAAAACCAAGTGGTTACTCACATTTAGTTGAACAGACTAACTGTTCAATGAATACAGCTTGAGTGGTATAATTCCCACCTAGGATTCTTGGGAGTAATATCCTCACTGGAAAGTAAAAACACTTCTGTGCCGGATAAAAGGATGGTAGTAGTAAAAAAGTTAAATAATAATAGTAATAAAAAGTAAGATGGCTAACTCACAGTAAGAAAGTGGCCAAAATACCTTTATTTAAAACAATATAGTTTACAAAAACCACAATGCGTTTCGCCCTTAGGCTCCACTTGATAACGCCTAAGGGCGAAACGCGTTGTGGTTTTTTAAACTATATTGTTCACTTTAGAGTTCACTTTCAAAACACCTTAGCCTGTCTCTGAAATACATAACAACTATAAGGATTTGTATAGTTCTTGGCATTTGCTATTTTTTTTACCATTAAATGTTTTAAGGTAGACCCCCTGCTTTTCTTCAGCTGAATTATATACCTTTCTAAACATTCAGTGTCTCACCTAAATGACCAACTAAAAATCATCCAAACCAATTGCAATTGTATTTTCTTTGCTTTTCTTTTGGTTGACATGTTGGAGAAAAGGATTACATTTTTGTATTCCATTGTAACACTTTGTCAAAAACTTCCTTTAGAATCCCAGGCTGCAGATTCTGCAGTAATCTCTAAGTAACAGAACCACACCGATGTGCTCGTTAAAGGGACCCTCCAGGCACCCAGACCACTTCTGCCCATTGGAGTGGTCTGAGTGCCATCTCCCACCACCCTTAACCCTGCAAGTGTAATTAATGCAGTTTTTATAAACTGCAATAATTACCTTGCAGGGTTAAGTCCTTCTCTAGTGGCTTTCTATCAGACAGCCACTAGAGGTAGTTCAGTGTTCTTAGAACATGAAAAGTGCTTTAAACGACGATGGACGTCCTCACACTATGTGAGGACTTCCAGTGTCGCCGAAATCCCCATAGGAAAGCACTGAATAATGCTTTCCTATGGGGAGGTCGATTGCGCATGCACATTAGGTCTCCCCTGCTGGCTGACGTTGGTGGGGAAGGAGAGTAGGCGGAGCCTGACCCAGTGCCAACGGACATCGGCGCTGGACACCGGTAAGTCACTGAAGGGGTTTTAATCCCTTCAGCAACTTGGGATGGGGGGTGGAGGGAGAGGGGCACTCTAGGGTATAATATGTTTTCCTGGCACTGAAGGAAAACTCTTCTGTGACTCTTCTGTGACTCTTTAACACTTCTGTGACTCTTCTGTGACTCATTCTGTTATCTATTCTGTTTCATATTCTATTCTATTCTATATTAATATTGGTAAACGGTAAAATGTATCACAATTATATTGTCTGTGTAAGTGCCATTTAGGTGTGAAAAATGCAAAAAATGTCACTTTCACTGACAATATCATTGTTGTAATACAAGTTACTGTTTTGAAACACTAATATTTGTGTTCAGCAAAGTCTTCCGAGTAAAACAATACCCCCAAGTACAGGTTTTATGGTGTATTGGAAAGTTACAGGGTTAAATATAGTGCTAGCAAGTTAAATTCCCTGGACTTTTGGCCTGGGTTGCCAGGCTGGTCAGGCTAATTGTAATTAATAAAATGACCTAATTATGTAAAATTATTACATAAATATATACGTAGAATTATTATATATGTATGTGTGTATATAAATATATGTATTTGTAATATACATGTATATAAATATATGTATATGTAATATACATATTTTTTTAAATTATTTTTATTTATATAAAGGTATATATATATAGTGATATATACGTATATACTTATGTATATAATTATATGTATTATTTTATTCTACATGTTTTTTTCTATCAATATATATATATATATATATATATATATATATATTAATTTTAAAATGCAGTTAGAACGAATTTACACACATATATATATATATATATATATATATATATATATATATATATATATTTATTTATTTTTTATTACTTTTTTACGTATTAAAAGATTTATTTATTTTATATTATGTATAAATATATATATATATATATTTAATCAATATCATTGTACGTGTATTTTGATATTAATATATATTTATAATTATAAATATATATATATTAAAATACACTTAGACAGTGTATGTGTATGTCTGTATATGTGTATATATATATACACTTAGATCATATATATAATTAATATATATATGATCTAAGTATATATTATTTAATTTTACACTTTTTTATCTGTTTTTTTTTCATTTTACAGACAGCAGGGTGAGTACCTGTCATTACAGACACTCCCCCTGCTGGCAATGCCTTGGACGGCTATGCCATCCATGTGATTTTGAGGTCCCCGCAAGGACCTCGTGATCACATGGCCCAGGGGGGCTGAAGAGGACAAAGGGGGACTCCCGGGGCTCCCAGGTGAGTCCCCATACCGCGATCACCGGCGTGGGATTGCCGGTGACCAGGTAAGTACAAAGGACGGTTTGTGCATTCTATTCCGCCCTGCGGCATTTAGAGCTGCCTCCTTAAGGACGGCATAGAATGGTTTCAACATGGATGCTGTCCAGGAAGTAGGAGGGTCTGGGAGGGAGGGTCTGCTGGAGATTGGCCGGGACGTGTCAGCTGACCGGAGTTCGCCACGGACGGTTCGCGACATATCTATATTTGATATGTTTGTTAACAGGGAGTTGATCCAACGAGAAATCAAAATGCCATTATGGAAGCAAGAAGGATTATTTTCTTTTTTGTGGCATAATTGGAAATTGACTACAATTGTTTTGTTTTGGATTTTTTTTTGCCTTTTTTTTGGATAAACATCATAAAAAATGGGTTTCTAGGTTGAATGTGATAGACTTTAGTCTTTTTTGAACCAAGACTACTATGAAACCAAGTAATAACATATTCCCATTAAGAGAATAAACAGACATACTCATGAAAAGATAGGGACACAGATTTATACAGAAATGTACATATGGATCTAACTGAGATTGTCATTAGTCTAAAGCATTGAACATGTTTATAATGAAAATATTAATTAACATATTCTACCATAATATAAAACTAATATATAGAAATTATTGGCATTAACACTTTAAAATTAGTTAATTAAATATAGTGCAGCTTTTCCTAATACTGTTCATGAGTTTGTTAATTCGACCCACGTTGGACCATGCTTTTACTGATATTATGTTATTTATATAGCGCCAACAAATTCAGCAGTGCTTTACAGTGGGTGAATGAACAAACATATTGTTTTAACCAGTCAAGTTGGACACACAGGAACAGAGGTGTTGAGGGCCCTGCTCAATTAACCAACATGCTAGAGGGAGTGGGGTAAAGTGACACAAAAGGTAAGGGTTGTATTAGACTAATGACAGTTGCAAGAGAAGAAACAATCGGGAGTTATTAACAGTTTAATTGATATGCTTTTATGGAGTAGTGGGTTTTTAATTATTTTTGAAGGAGTGGAGACTGGGTGAGCATTTAACGGAGGAGGGAAGTGAGTTCCACAGGAACGGTGCAGCCCTTGAGAAGTCTTGAAGGCGAGCATCAGAGGTGGGAGTACGGACAGAAGATAGACGTAAGTCTTCAGCAGAGTGTAAGGGCCTAGACGGGACATTCTTGTGTATTAGGAAGGATAGATAGGTGAGAGCAGCATTATGTAGAGATTTGAAAGCAAGAACCAGAATTTTCAATTGAGCCCTATAGCTTACAGGAAGACAATGTAGAGACTGACAGAAGGGTGAGGCATGAGAGGTGCGGGCGGACAGAAAGATAAGCCTCGCCACTGCATTCATTATGGACTGTAATGGCGCAAGCTGGGAGCACGTAAGACCACTGAGAAGTGGATTACAGTAGTCAAGGTGAGAAAGGACAGTGGAATGGACCAGCACCTTAGTCGCACCTGACGTTAAGTAGGGTCGGATGTGCGCAATGTTTTTGAGATGGAAGCGGCAGGATTTGACAATAGACTGAACATGAGGCGTGAAGGAGAGGTTGGCGTCAAAGAGAATGACTAGGCAGAGAGCAGACCAGTTTTGGTCAAATTGAGTTTAAAGAGGTGGGCAGCCATCCAGTTCAAAATAGCAGAGAGGCAGTCAGAGACACTAGTCAAAAGGGACGAGGAAAGATCAGGAGAGGACAGATTTGATTGTCATCCGCATAGAAATTATATTGAAAGCCAAAGAAGCTAATGAGTTTACCAAGGGAAGCAGTATAGATGGAGAACAGTAGGGGACCAAGGACTGAACCTTGGGGGACACCAACAGAGAGGAGTTGGGGAGAAGAAGCAGAGCCAGAGAAAGAAACACTGAAAGAGCGCTTGGAGAGGTAGGTGGAGCACCAGGAGAGAGCAGTATCTTGCAGACCAATATTGTGGAGGATGAGAATCATCAACAGTGTCAAATGCCGAGTAGGTCATTGGATATTTTGGTCAGTGCCGTTTCTACAGAGTGCTTAGCTCAGAAACCAGACTGAAGCGGGTCTAGCAGAGAGTTGGACTCAAGGAAGTCTGTCAATCTCGCATACACAAATCTTGTAAGGATCTTGGATTCAAATGGCAGTAGCAAGATAGGACGGTAGTTGGATGGGGAATGAGGGTCAAGGTTGGGCTTCTTTAGAATTTATGTTATAGTTGCATGTTTGAAGGGCGATGGAAATATGCCAGAGGAGAGAGAGAGAGAGAGAGATATTGAGAATTTTAGTGAGAGGTAGAGAAGAAAACAGAGTATGCTACCCTGTCCCTTGGTGTTCTTTCCCCATCCCTTGGTGCCCCCCATCCCTTAGTGCCCATATTTCTCCCCCAGATGGTCCACTCCTCTCCCTCCCTGGTATGTCTCCTACCCATTTTGTAGCATTGGCTAAGTGGAGTGGACCGTGGTACCCGGCCGGACTGACAGGAAGTTCTCTCTCAGTGAGTACTTCCTGTCAGTCTGGCCGGGTACACAAAGCAGAAGCTCCTGTACCACGGTCCGCTCCACTTGGCTACACTACACTGAGTGACTGGCAGGATCTAGAGGCCCCCAAGCCTCTCTAATCTAGAAGCCCCCAAGCTGGTGCACCCTAAGGCAGCCATCTGTGCTACCTTATGGACACGCTTGCCCCGATTCTACCTAATCTTGCCTCTTTTATGCTAACTAGCTGTCAGTTCTGATCTTTGCATTTGTCTTATATTTAGATGTTTGGCTTTTCCCATGACTGTACTGCACTTTCAGGTTTTCCTTCCTACACACCCCACATGCACATGTTCACTCTCCACGTGATTTATCTAACTATTTTTGCTGTAATATGGAATTCAACACAAGGTATTCTCTCACAGAATATGGGGCAGG